ACTCAGATGAGATATCTTTATGCGCGCCAACTGATGGGTCCATGGAATTGGTCGTTGAGACCAATCCCCGTGGTACACTTTGACCGGAAATATCCAAGCGGCTATAAAAAAGACTTATACACCACCTTATCGTGATTGTTTGATTCTGTCTTGTAAAAAAGTAGAGAGAGAGAGGAAAAAAATGTTCTATTCCTATCAAGACATCGAATTCAAAAATTCTTGTATGAATAATAACAAATTTAGATTTTACAATACAGGTTACTGTATTGTAAAATTTACCACACAGTAAATCCTGAGGTATTAAAAAGTGTTGCAGATTAAATTAACACCAAAAAAGATTAAAATAATCAATTTTAGTGTTATTTTTTACAATTAATGAAATTTTAGTTTATTAAATTTTTTTATAACTATAAAACATGAAGATATCGATAACTCCGAGTCTTCGACTCGGAGTCATCGATTTCTTCATATTTTATAATAATTAAAGATGACCAAGTAATAAAATCATTATTTTATATTATAAGAATATAATACTTCTTCAACATTATTTTCATTATTTCAATTCAATTATTATTTTCAAAAATTGAAAACTACAATTTTACTTTATATCAATTATTTTTAATAATTTTTGAAAAAGTTCTTTGGCAATTTTCAAATCCATTTGTTTACAACATTTAATTTCGCGAAAATTCAATTATTCCTAAATTCTTTAATTAAATGCATATTAGAAAATAAAACCTTCAAATAATATAAAAGAAAATTCAATTAAACTTTTTTAAAAAAAATTAATTTCAAAATTCAATTATTTCTAAAAATTTACGCTGTATTGCTTTTAATATTTAATTATAATCTAAAATTTTAACTGAAATTCATTTTTAAATCAATTTTTATTAGAAAATTCGAATTCTAATTTATTGAATAATTGAATGTTTCTCAAAATTCAATTTTCATAAAGAATTTTATTAACAAATTTTTAAATAATTGAATTCTTTTGTCGAATTTTATTAAAACTTGCATGAACATAATTTTTTTTTTCAAGGAATTCAATTATAATTGTATGAAAAATAATTAAAACGCTGCGACGAGTTTTATTATTACTAGAAATGATTGAATTCTTAAGAAGAATTTTATTACTCTGAAAAATAATTGAATTTCTGCAATAATTTCTAACTTCTTTAAAATTAAATTTTTTTGTAGTGTTTTTAACTAAAATTCTTCGATAAATCCATTATTTTTAATTATTTTTTTAAAAAAGTTCTTTGATAATTTTCAAATTTATTCGTTTACGATTCAATTTTACAAAATTTCAATTATTCGGAAATTCTGCAATTAAATATTTATTGAAAAATAAAAACTTGAAATAATTTCAAAAAAAAATCCTATTAAACTTTTTAAAAAGAATTAATTCTACAGAATTGTTTGTCAAAAATATTAAAAATTAAGAATTTCAATGATTTTAATTTGAAACTTTTTCAAAATTTAATTATTTCTAAAAATCCACGTTATAATGCTTTTAATATTTAATTATAATCTAAAATTTTAACTGAAATTCTTTTTTTAAACTATTTTTATTAGTAATTTCTACGAGAATTCAATTATTTAAATACAAAAATAAATAATTTATTAATTTCATGTTTCTTGAAATTAAATTCTCATGAAAAATGTTACCAACAAATCTTTTTAAATCATTAAATTCTTTGGACGAATTTTAATAAAATTTTTAAGAATAATAAATAATTACATTTTTCCAGGAATTCGATTAAAATTGCATTAAAAATAATTGAAATTCTGCAATGAGTTTTATTATTTATGAAAATAATTGAATTCCTAAAAGAATTTTATTTTTTATAAAAATAATTGAATCCCTGTAAAAATGTTATTATTTATGAAAATAATTGAATTATTGCGAAGAAATTTATTTAAAAAATTTGTAAATAATTGAATTCCTGTAAAAATGTTTATTATTTATTAAAATAATTGAATGTTTGCATAGAATTTTATTCAAATTTTTTTTAATAATGGAATTCTTTTGGAAAATTTTATTGAAATAGCAGATATTGAAAATTATTGAATTTTAGAAAACTTTTGAAAATAATTGAAATTTTGACAAGAATTTGATTAAAATTTTGTAAAATAATTGAATATCAGAGAAGAATTTTATTATTTATAAAGAGAATTGAAATTTTGACGAGAATTTTTAAAAAATTTTAAATACAATTGAATTTAGTAACTATGTTACTAAGTTATTCAGTTAGTTAGTAACTAACTTACTAACTTACTATTCTCCCTAGAGAAGCTAAATCCGTTGATTTTTTACAAATCGTTGACTTTGGTGTTTTATTAATTTATTTAAAGTAAAATTTTATTCATAGTTAAAAATAACACCAAAATAGATTATTTTAATCCTTTCTGGTGTTAATTTAATCCTAGAGGGATTAAACTGTTGCAGATTATTTTAATCCATTCTGACGTTATTTTAACACCTCACGTTTTACTATGCATCTGTTTGGTGCAATTTACAAACTATTTGTATTGTAAAATTTATTATCAGTAGGGATAAAATTTACAACATGTATTGTAAAATTTATCATCTCTATGGTACAATTTACAAACTGTATTATAAAATTTACCATTTGTATGGTATAATTTACAAACTGTACTGTAAAATTTATCATTTGTAAGGTACAATTTGCAAACTGTATTGTAAAATTTATCATCTCTTTGGTATAATTTACAAACTGTACTGTAAAATCTACCATTTGTATGGTACAATTTACAAACTGTATTGTAAAATTTATCATCTCTATGGTATAATTTACAAACTGTACTGTAAAATCTACCATTTGTATGGTACAGTTTACAAACTGTACTGTAAAATTTACCATCTTTGTGGCGACATTCACAATTTAAAATACAACTCTCTCCATATTGCTTCCAAAAATTTGTCCCACGTCTCGTATTAGTTGAAAGTTGAACTATTTTTTATTAGTGATTAGATAAGAATTGTAATACAAGAGATTGTCATGAATAAGTTATGTAAGAAGAAGAGGAAGAAGAAGAGAGAGGATGGAAGAGATGGTTTCGTGAATTTTGAGGGTTGTGAAAAAGAAGCTTTGAGATTGTGGTGTCTTTTGTGACAGTGCCTCGATTCTCGAGAGGCTTGTGGAACGAGCTTTTGTTCCGGTTGTCAAGGCTGTCGTCGCAACAAGGGGCTGTTTGTCATACGTCGATAGGCGTCAGAATTGACATACTCGCTGGGTGTGAAACGGAAGCGTCACCAGTCATGACAAGGGCGGAGAAATTCAGTATGCGAACATGCAAGAGAGAGAGAGAAAGGTGTACAAGAGATAAATATTTGAGGAATTTGTCGTCTTCTCTAAAGGGACTAGAAATAGGCACATAACCAATAGCGTGTTTGACAGAGAATGATAAAGGGATTTTAGTCAATTTGTATACTACAGTTGTTCCTTTATCCAACGAACAGAGACGAAAAAAATAGCATTCAAAATAAATTCCTCGCGGATTTCAAATTTTTTTTTATTTTTATTTATTTTTTTTTTTAATCTATCCCTTTTTTTGGTTTTTTTTTGTACCACTTTTGTCTATAATTATGGATGATAAAAAAGAAAAAATTAAAAGCTGGAAAAAATTATTTCAGTTACGAAATATATACAGACAAATAAAATGTATTTTATTCTTGTTAAATGCATGTGTAAAATGGGTACAGATACAGATACGTCGAGAAGAGAATTCATTGGGTTGACCTGAGTAAAACGAGCCAGGAAAGTTCATTAATGGATTAAGAGTGCTCGATCGATACGATTAGCACCAAACTCACTTTTTTAGTTTTTTTTACTCTCATATTGTAAATTTACCTTAACTGAAAAAATTTAAAATCGTTTCAAACTTATTCATAAAATTAACATTATAAACGAACTTTTTGTTAAAAATTACAAAGACAATGAAAATTTAAATTCTTCATGCATTATATTTATTAGGTTGATAAAATAAAATAGTTAAGATAACGAAATCTGATTAAATTGAGAAACATGATTAGAAACAGAAAATTATTCGCAGAAGAAAAAAAAATTATCTATATGAAAATCTATATGATTTTTTGTGAGAGAAGAAACTCTAATTATAATTCTTTTTAGAGAGAAAATTTTTTTTTAAATTTTCCTTATTACGAAAAAGCTTTTCACATTCTTTCTTATTAGGAAATAAAAAAAGAATTATTTATTAGGAAAAAAACTGTGTAGAATTATTTTTATTAAGAGAAAACTTATTAGAATTTTTTTTTACATCATAAAGAAAAAACTATTTTGAATTTTCGGAGATATAAAACTGTTAAATTTTTTTATTTAAAAAAAAAGGTTTTTACAATTTTTTAAAGGAAAAAATTTTCCCGAATTTTCTTTATTAAGAAAAAAAGTTAAAAACTTTTTTTTTCTACAACACGTTGATCGTTGAAATTGATATGAATAGGAGCATGTTGTCGAACCCTTGGTCTACGTATGGGGTTTGAATTTTAAAACTGTCCCCAGGAGAGTATGTCTCACAAAATCAGGCTCCTATACGCGGTCCTGTTCTTGCATAAGAAGATACAAGCCCCCGGGGAGAATGTTTCAAAACCTCCTTTACAGTCAGAAAATAACCGATTGATGTGTTTTAGTCCTTATTTTCTTACTTCAAAAAAAAAAAAAAAAAATTTTAAGCCGAGGTAAGTGTCTCGTATTTAAATAATTTACCACCTTTCAAATTTTCCAAATCTTTTTCAGAATTGAAAAAAAATTTTTTAATTTGAATTCCTATTTAAAAAATTAAAAAAAGAATTTGTTTTTTTTTAATTAGAAGAAGAAGAAAATTTATACTGTATCAATATAAAAATATAAGTCAAACTTATTTTATTAGTATATAAAATAATAAATTCAATAACATTCTAAAATTCGTCTTTTATATCTTATCGAAAAAAATTAAGATTACAGAAAGATATGTTTAATTCATTGTAATCTATCGTGTTGTGGATTCAATACAAGTTAAAATTTTCTTGTTTTGAATTAAATAAATTTATAAATAAATAAATTTTTAAATAAACAGAAAACAGTGAAATGAATAATGAAAAAATTTGCTCTCCTTTCACAGAAGCAGAAAAGTTTTTTGATTCAGTTGTCGATTACAATTTGTGGTAAGTAATTTTTTTCGTGTGTGAAAAATATTAGACTGATTTTGTAAATTTAAAAAATTTACAGTGGAAAAATAATTCCATTTTGTGAAATTTGATAATAAGAAATAAAATATTGTTAAAAGAAAATAAATAAAATATATGACGCTTCTTGATGAGAAGAATCTTACGCGAAAAGAAATTTAAGGTTATGATTGTCAATTTTGAAAATGCGATTATATTTCAAAATAATTTTTAAATGTAAACAAATAAAATTCATTAAAATATAAAATTTATTTCAATAAAATTTGAAAAAAAATTCAATTGTTTCAATTTTTTAAAATTATTTTTGGAAATACAATTAATTTAAAAAAAATGTTAATTACATTTTTTTGGAATTTCTGAATTAAATTATTCAAGACTTCAATAATTATTTTCAAAAACCTAATTTTTTCAGAATTTCCAAATTAAATCTTTCAAATTTTAATCATTTTTGTAAAATAAATATTTAAATACTTATTGCTTTTGATTTGCTTAAAATTTCGAAATACTTTCAATTTAAAATCAATGGGAGAATTTTTTATAAAAATTTGAACTGCAAATTTTCCAAAATTCAATTATTTTTTTAGAATTTTTGAATATTATTCAAAATTTTTAATTTTTAAGGAAGCAAACAATTTAGTAAATTTTTATATTTAAATATTATGATACTTTTACAGAAATTAGAATTTCAAAGCTTGAAATTTAAAAACTTTTTGAAATTTAATTATTTCTAAAGAATCCTATTTTAACGCTTTTAATTATTTTCTAAAGTTTTAACTAATATTCTTTTTTAAATCAATTCTTATCAGAATTTAATTATTTAAATACAAAAATAAATAATTCATGAAATAATTAATTATTTTTAAAAATTGCAACTATACCTTTCTGTTGAGTTTTTGAAATTGTGATTAAATTTTCTCACTCCACTTATTTTATTATTTACAAATTAACTGTCAAATTTTTGACATAACAATTCGAACTATAAAGCAAAAAAATTGAATAAAACAACACTAACTTCAGGTGAAGACAGATTATGTCAAACTCTTCCTATTTTTAACAATAATTGAACTTTACAGATTTAAAATTGAATTTTTTGAATAATTTAATTTTTGAAAAACTATCGAGAAAAAAATATTTTTTATTAATTATTTGTAATAATTTTTTATTTAAAAATTCAAAAAATAATTAAATTTTATGAAAGTTGTGTTTTTAATTTTTTTTATAAATAATATATAAATAAGTAGCAAATGTCTCGCCCGCCAAACGAAGTATTTAATTTATTATTATTATGTTAATTATGCAAATTACAAATTTTTTATGTTAAAATTTATTTGTGAATAATTTCGGATTTGAAATAAAAATTTAATTTTAATACATTTCTTCTAATATTCAATTTTTTTTAAATTCGATAAAATTTTTTGCATGAGATTCAATATTATTTTTAATATAGTTTTAATAATTTCTTTATAGAATAAAATTTATTTTTAATAAAATTTCTCGAAAGAATTCAATTTTTTTTTTAACTTTTCATAAAATTCTTTATAATTAATTTTATTCTCAATACATTTTTAATTGAATTATTCAAAAGAATTCGATTATTATCTTTACAAAATTTCAATAAAAAATTCTTTAAAAAAATGTATGAGAAGTTACAAAAATTTTAATTTTTAAAATTGAAAAAATTTCACATATTAACGCAAAATTATGTGTGAAGTAAATTATAATTTCTAATTTTTTTTTGCAATAACATTACATAATATATCAAAAAATGTATTCTCTAAATTTAAATTAGTAAAAAACTAAAAATTCAACCTGATTAGAACAGAAGTGATATGAATTTTCCAAAAATTATTTTTTTAATCCTACATAAAACAAGATATTAAAATAAATAAAATTATGTTTCTCTGAGAAAATAAATTGTAAAAAATTTTAATTAAAAAGAACTTAATTCTTAATTAATTAAAAAGAAGTTAGTTTTTTGAAACATTTTGTTTAATTTTTTTTAAATTAGTTGTATTTTTAAATATATATTTAATTGAAAAATTGTCAAATTATTGAAATTTCGTGAAATAGAATTGTAATGAAGTGAATTTCAGAAATAGTTTAGGGGGATTTTTTTTATATATAAATACGACGATTATTATAGTTAATAATAATTAATAATTAATTAAATAATAATAATTAATAAGAAATAAGAAGAAGAAATAATTAATTGAAAAAATTTTCTTTTCTGATAGTTTCATTCACGTCAGTCGGTTGTGGAACGAGTCTCTCATGGACATCTCCAGCTCTGCCACATTTAAAAAGTAACAATTCAAAAGTACCAATAACAGAATTCGAAGGCTCATGGATTGCGTCAACTTTAGATTTAGGCGGAGTTGTTGGAAACTTATTGAATCCAGCAATTTCCCCTTTTATGGGACGAAAATATTGTCTGGCATTTTCTACCATTCTTCAAGTAATTTCATGGTTATTTGTCATCATTGACAAGAATGTGACAATTCTCTATGCATCACGTTTCATCAACGGTCTGGCAAATTCGATAGGTTTAAATTTCGCCATAATGTACATTGGCGAGATTGCCGAAAAGAATACAAGAGGAATTTTACTTTTAATATTAAGAATAAGCCTGCAGACCGGTAGTTTAATTGTTCTTATATTTGGCGCGTATCTTCCTTATAATTTAATGAATTTAGGAGTCCTTTTAATGCCACTTTTATATATAATTACATTTCCCTTTATACCCGAGAGTCCTTATTATCTATTATTACACGAGAAAATAGAAGAGGCACAAAATTCTGTAATTAAACTAAAAGGGACGAATAATTCCGAAATTATCGACGAAGAACTTTTTCGAATTAATAATTCAACGCTAAAAGCAAAAGAAACGGAAAGATGTGCAATGTGGGATTTATTTTATTCGAAAGGCAATAGAAAAGCATTTTTTGTTCTAATTCTCCTGCAGGCGAATAAAGTGTTATCGGGAAGATTTGCAATTGCCGCTTATACACAAGAGATATTTGATTATACGGGATTTTTGTTGTCGTCGAAAAATTCGGCAATATTATACACGAGTGTTACTTTAGTAATGATTGTGATTGCTTCACAATTTATTGAGCGAATTGGAAGGAGAAAAATTGTTCTCTACTCGTCATTATTCTCGGGCATTGGTTTAACAATAGTGGGATTATTTTTTTTTATTAAATTTTATCTCAACGGGGACATTCAATCGATCACATGGTTGCCATTATTTGGTTTAATTGTTTACAATATTGCCTCAACATTGGGTGTTGGTTCATTGACTTACGTTATAACGGGGGAAATTTTTTCTCTTCACGTGAAAGTTACGGCTGTTATGTGCTCGGCAATTGTCACTGATTTAATGGTATTTCTCGTGAAATTATCATTTCAGTGGATGAATTGTAATGTTGGTATTTATACAACTTTTTGGATTTATTCCATTTGTTCTTATGTCGGTGGAATTGTCTTTTTTTTCTATGCACCGGAAACTAAGGGCAAAACTTTAGAGGAAATTCAAGATATTTTAAATGATAATAATAATTCGGGGAGGAAACTTGAAAAAAAGTCCAATTCTTTTCTATGGACAGAAACATATTAAAGGGTAAAAAAAAAATTTTTTTAAATTTAAAAATCTGCTTTTTCTAATTCTGATATTTATAAAAAAGGGAACTACCGGTGTAAATAAATAAGTAAATAAATAAATAAATTTAAATAAATAAATTTAATAAAAAAATAAATTTAAATAAATATATTTAAATAAATAAAAAATAAATAAATATGGAATTATTTCTAGAGATTCAAATAGTTCCAGATATTAAAACTGTCAACGAAGAAATAACCAAAATACAAAAAACGAAAAATAGAATTAGTTCTTAATACTCAAAACTAATGAGTATATTTTTAATGAGTACAAAATGAGTACATTTTTTCTATAAAATAAATAAAAAAGACGTCACTTAAAATATTCTATCAAAAAGATAATTTCTTTATCAAATCTTATCTTTATTTATAAATAAAATGCTGGTAATCAAAATTAGATCAATCTTTAACTATCGTAACTGTAAGAAGAGATAAAGAAAAATTCGGCCAAATTGTGTAGAAGAGTAAAAACAAATTTTAAAATTGTGCGTGAAATAAAAAATCATTTTTAAAAAAACATAATAAGTGTTCTTTTATTAATCGAAATCTTTTATTTTATCGAAATCTTTAATAAATTTTAGTCATTTATTTATTCATTTTTATATTTTTGTTTTATTCTCAGAATAAAAAAAAAATTAAATAAAGAAAAATTTCAGAATTTATAAACAAAAAGTTGACGTTCGGCTTTTTATATTAGCTTGTGAGGAAAAACAACAAATGAAATGTAAAATAGGTCAGAATATTTTCCATGATTTTACATTTTCATTCATTAAATTGTTATCATTAGTGTTTATTTTCACAGATACTTGTGTTTAGTTTGTAGAAGGAAAAAGTTCATTCCGTCGACATGACATTGTTCACATATTGATAATATTTTTTTTCCTGATAAAATAAAATTAATTTACATTAAAATTGAAAATGGTAAAAGTTTCCTTCATGAGAAAAAAAAAATTAGGTAAATAGAAATAAAATAATAAATTATGTATTTTATTTCTATATAGTTTTTATTCAAATATTTAAGGGACTGAAATTATATTAAAAAATATTTTTTAAGAAACAATGAAACTAAAAAAAATACTATTATTATTCAATTTTTTTTATTTGAAAATTCATTTGTTTATTTTTAACTAATTTCAAACTATAATTATATCATATGTTTTCAGTATTTTTTATTTTATATAATTAAAAAATTTTGACCTGAAACTAGTTAGAAAAATAAACAAATGAATTTTCAAATAAAAAATTGAATAATAACAGTATTTTTAGCATTCTCAGACTGAAAACAAAAATTGCTACTAGTATTCAATTTTTCTAATTGAAAATTCTTTTTTATATTTTCCTAACTAATTTAAGACTATAATTTTTATCATATTTTTTCAGTATTTTTTATTTTATACAATAATTAAAAAATTATGATCTAAAATCAGTTGCAAAAATAAACACATGAATTTTTAAATAAAAAATTTGAATAATAATAGTAATTTTTAGCATTTTCAGACTGAAAACAAAAATTACTACTATTATTCAATTTTCTTAATTGAAAATTCTTTTTTTTTATTTTACTAACTAATTTCAGACCATAATTTTATCATATATTTTCAATATTTTTTATTTTACATAATAAAAGAAATTATTATCTGAAATTAGTTAGAAGAATAATCAAAATTAATTTTCTAATAAAAAAAATGAATAATAATGGTATTTTTTATAATTTTCAGTCTAAAAACAAATTTTTTTTTTAAAATGCATCAAAAGTTAAGAAAATTAATTGTTTTATTTGACAATTTTTTTATGGATTCAAAAACAAATATTCTAAAAAATTACGCCTGAATTTCAAAATCTACCAATTGGTAAGTAAAACATAAATTCAAAAAGTGTCTAATATTTTCTGACTGACTATATTTTAGGACCATTGAATTCCACACAAGAAATTACGCAAAGAAAATTTTTTTTGGAATATTTAAATTATTTTCTTGACATAGTTAAAAATATCGATGTGCCCTCCCCTTGAGTTGCTAAAAAAAGTATTAGTAAAATTCGTCATTTTAAAAAAATGTTTAAATTTCGAATAAAGTTTTGGATTCAAAATATATTTGATTTTTAAAAATTATTTTTCTGTTGTAAAAGTACCTTTAAAATTTTTTATTTTTCTAATTCAAATTTCGTGACTTGCACTTAAATGTAAATAAATTCTTGTAGATCATTTTGTCTGACTAAAAAATACTTCTACTTCTTACATCAAATGTTTTATTTTTCTTTCGCATGTTGTCTGACTAATGACTACTTGTACTACTTATACTTAAGTTACTCAAACTTTAAGTCTGAATGACAACTTCTTTTACTGTAATTAAAAAAAACAATTTATTTGTCTGACTAAACCCTACTTCTACTACTAAAAACAAATTTATAAAGATTTTTCGCTTTTTGTCTGACTAAAGTCTACCTTTACTACTAATTCTTCAATTTTTAATACTTCGTGTCTGAAGGCAACTTCTTTTGCTATTATTAAGAAAAACAAATGTATTTGTCTGACTAAAACATACTTCTTCTACTAACAACAAATTTATTTTAAAAATTCAGTTTTTGTCTGACTAATGCTAACTTGTACTACTCATACTTAAGTTACTAATATTTCATGTCTGACTGACAACTTTCTTCACTATAATTAATAAATAAAAAAAATTTATTTGTCTGACTAAACTCTACTTCTACTACTAAAAACAAATTTATAAGGACTTTTCGCTTCTTGTCTGACTAATACCTACTTTTACTACTGATTCATCAATTTTTAATACTTTGTGTCTGAATGCAACTTCTTCTGCTATTATTAGGTAAGAAAAAAATTTATTTGTCTGATTCAAACATATTTCTACTACTAACAACAAAATTAATTTTAAAAATTCAGTTTTTGTCTGACTAATGCTAACTTGTACTACTGATACTTAAGTTACTAATATAGTCAGAATGACAACTTCTTTTACTATAATTAAAAAAAAAATTAGTTGTCTGACTAAACCCTACTTATACTACTGAAAATAAATGTATAAGGTTTTTTTTGCTGCATGTCTGACTAATGCCTGTTTTTACTACTAATTCTTAAGTTTTCAATACTTTGTGTCTTAATTTAACTTCTTTTACAATAATTGTAGTAAGTAGATAAATTCTTGTAGAAAGATTGAGAAATCAACATTTTTTGTCGTTAAGTTGTAATTTTTTCAAAAATTTTATCAGTTTTTTAAAAATAGAAAAATTTTCACATATTATGTTTTTTAGTGTACTTTTTGAAATATTATTATTCGAAATATCAATGTGAATGAATAAAAGAGTGCGAATATTAATAAAGTATATAGAAGTATATATATTTATATATTTGCTGAAACATGAGAGGGTTTTTAGATTGAAAAGGGTATGAAGGTGAATGTAAGGAAGGAAGGAAGCAAGCAAGTATAAGGTGGTAAGACGCACACGGCAGGGTGTCGGTTGGTTGGAGGTTGCCCGTAGGAGGTCGACCCGCTGTCGCGGCTCTAATAAGCTACCCAACCTCGTTTCACCTTACGACCCCCTTACATCCCTTTAGTAGAGCACAGAGGCGAGCTTGCAATTTGATAAACTGTCACGAGCGTTCACCCACACTCCTGCATTTAATATCGCCTGGCACAACCTTCGAGGAACACTCAACGTGTGCAAGAGTGGGTTACAGATTTCCTACGTCATGAAATTTCAATCGAATACCTCCACCATCTACCCCCCCCCCTCTCCCCACCCTATAATAAATTTATCGTTGCATTTAACCTCCACGTTTATGGAATATTTCCCATCTTAGAAAATTACTTATACCTTTGATCACGTTTCCTTTTTGTTTTTTACCGTTAAAAAAAAAAAAATGTTCAAATTATTTTTCTACTTTTAATGAATTATTATTTGTTGATAAAATAAAACTTTTAACTGTATATTAATGAATTTTTTTTACCCCCTTTTTGTATTTTGATCAAAATTGCTTTATTCTTGAATAATTGCTTTATTTCTTGAATCTAAGTTTTGTTTTAAAGACAAAGAAATTCCAGCGTTTTTTTAAGGTTTTGGTAATATTTGAATTTGATAATATTAATTACTTACCTATCTTACTTTTTCGATCAAAAAGTTGTTCGAAGCAAGTAACAGTCAAGCAAAGTATTAAACATTTCCTGATTATGTACAAGTGAAAACAGACATTTACAGTCAGACAGAAATTATTCTAATTTTAAAAGCAGTAGCATAGATTAGTATTTAATTGGTTTTACAATATCAGTAGTAAAAGTCAGTTTTTAGTCAGACAAATATAAATAATCATTGTAATTATGATTATAAGTAGTAGAAGTAAATTATAGTCAGACATAATGCTATCAACTATAATATTACAATTATAAGTGCTTTAGTAACTTTTTCTATTTCAGTAGTAGTAGTCATTCTAAGTCAGACAAAAAGTTCAAATTCTTATATTTTTGTCTAAAAGTAGTAAAATTCATTTTTAGTCAGCCAAAATTTTTCTGTTTTAAATAATAATAGAATAAGTTTCTTTCTGCCTAAATTTTGATTTTATTATTAATTACCTTAGTATCTTAGTAGTAGAAGTCACTGTTTAGTCAGACAATTAGTTTAAGATAGTAAAACTTAGCTTTAAATTATTTTTTTTTATTGAAATTAAGATTTTCAAAAATTTCAAATTCAAATCTTTTAAAATTTAATAACTTATATTATAAACATGAAGAAGTCAATCACTCCGAGTCTTCGACTCGGAGTAATCGATTTCTTCATGTTTATATAATAATCAACGATAACTCAGGGATAAAATTTGTATTTTATAATAATATTGTTACTCTAACTTCTTCGAAATTATTTTCATCCTTAAAATTCAAATATTTTTTTCCAGAATTTTTAACTAAAAGATTTCCTAACATTTGAATTTAAAACCATTTCAAAATTCAATAATTTATAAAAATCCGTAGTATAATGCTTTTAATATTAAATTATTATCTGAAATTTTAACCGAAATTCATTTTCATTTCATTTAAATCAATTTTTATTAGAAAATTCTACGAGAATTCAATTATTTCAATAAAAAAATAAATAATTTATTGAATAGTTGAATGTTTATTAAAATTTAATTTTTACGAAGAATTTCATTAACAACTTTTGAAAATAATGAATTTCTTTAAATTTAATTAAAATTTTACTGAAATTTCTAATATTAAAGAATTTTATAACAATTTTTGAAAATATTTGAAAACTTTTTGAAGAATTTTATTAAAATTTTTAAAAATACTACTTGAATTCCTGAGAAGTTTTAAATAATATTTTATAAAAATAATTTAATTTATGCGAAGAATTTTATTACATTTTTTTTAAATAATTGAAATTTTGACAAGAAGTTTATTAACATTTTTGACAATAATTTAATTCTTGAAAGAATTTCGCCACTTATTTATAAAGATAATTTAATATTTGATTAAAATTTCAAAAAAATTTTGAT